TTACGGTCAGACAGATCTGGAGCTTTCCAATGGCGCAGAGAAGATGTTTGAGGAAACTCAGCCAAAAGTTAACAAATACGAAGATAACAACAAAGCGAATAAAGTATTAGGAAATGGCAAACAAATAAACTTGGCGACGGAAAGTGCCACAGTTAAATTTGACCCAATTGGATTAGAACCCTCCCAAAAGAAAGTAATGGATGTTGATGGTGAAAATATTGATAGCCTTCAGGGCTTATCTGTCCATTTAGATGCTTGTTCAGAAGAGCAAAACTGGCATCATTTTCATGACAATGATTATCATGATCACGGTCAAAGACAAGGAATGGAACATGGGCAGGATCATGAATTCTACGTAGGGCATGTACATAATCATGAATATCCGTCCGAAAAGGAGTTGCTAGCTGACGAGTTTGAGTCATATGGCGATAAAACTCAAGCGCTCGAACTCAGAGATTCAATGAAGCCGCCGACCTTGGCGAACACCCCACAGTCCTCGTTGCTCTGGCTAGGAGAAGCGTCCAATCGAGATCTGAGGTAAAACTATATTAAACTTGTCAATATAGCTATACTTTTTGTCGTAACGCAGTTTCGCACAATTCTTAATTAATTTCTGATCTTAACTACATTCACACTTTTTTGAACTACTAATATTGATATTTGATTACTACATTTACTTTGTAATTATATAATTGTTCTCTCATTAAATCAGGCTGTTTAACTTGACACCATTATTATTTCAGTTAACACTCGGAAAGTGCCTTAGCATAGGGACATTTGAGTTGGGTTTGATTTCGCTATTAAAATGTCCTGATTTATAAGGAATTAGATGTCCAATTTTCGCTTTCAAGCTTCATCTTCAGTTTTTTGTGAGCATTTTTATAATCACCATTCTGTACCCCATAACCACGTAAGATGTAAGTTCTTGGTAAGAGGAATAGCCTTTCCTAAAATACGTAGAATCGTCTTACACTAAATGTACTATAAAGCATAGCCTGGGAGATTGGAAAAGCAGAAAAATGAAACAACTAAAAAATGTATCGACTTGTTCACTAACGAATGAACATTAAGGAGCTCTAACAATTCCAAACTAGCTGATTTCTGATCTTGCGATCGAATATTTATAGAAGGAATCAAAAATCCATCGTCTCTCGGTCTACCAACGCTTCATATGAGGGACTCGTCCAAACTAATAGGCTAGGAATGGAAGACAAAATCATAAAATGCAATCTAAATATTCTTTCAATTTTGGCAAAAGAACTAATTAACTCAGAAACTGATTAGACTAAGAATGACCTAGTTCATGTTTAATGCCATTATTTGTGGGTAGATTTTCGCCCTATTTATGGCCCTCATCCCATTTTAGCGGTATTTGCAGAGCCATCCTAACTGCGCAGTAACTGTCCAACTGATTGTTTTTATGTAAAGTCGAGTCAAAAAACACTACTAGCTTCGAACGCCAAGTGTTACTCTAAATAAATTAGATTGGATGCCACATTTTATATTCACCAGTCATATATATTAGTTTCATCCTAAAAATGAAGATAAATCGATTAAATAGAAGTATAAGTGGTATATTTCAGAGCTTTTTTTTTGTTACGAGCAACTATTTTTCTGCTTTTTAAAATCTACTCTTAGTTACATAAATCATCTTTCATATTCATAAAATTGATGCTAATTCTAGGACGTTCTCATGTTTTATTTGCCTATAGACACAAGGGGAAATCGTTTTAAGCCTATTCTTTTCATTGGTACCTTCTCAGACATTTAAAGAATGTGGCAAGTCCACGGTCTGATGCTGGAACTTATGATCACTACTTTGGAAAAGAACTTCGGACAAGATGCGTTCAATTAAGTTCCTCTGAGAACTAGGCCAAGTTGCGGAAGCGAGGTCAACCCACTTATATAAATCGAAAGGAGGCTGCGACCATATAGTGGGTCACACCATCTTGGTCTTCATATTTTCGATGAGGAATTTACTTGAAGGGCACAGTAGAACGGGAATCAGTACCGAGAAAAAGGCATTATTGTGCATTTTGTGAAAAATAAATCGTTAAATACTTGTCTAGCATGACGCAAACTCTCTTGATTGGTGAGACTTATAAAGTGAAATCAAGTTTATTTATCTGCGTGTAGATAAATTAATATCTCTATATTCTGGAATTGTGTTGTTGACAACTTAACTTATCCAGAGAGTGCTTCATTCTCTTTAAACATTTTCAACTAAATGAATATCTGTGCGTCCATCATATAGACATATCGGGGAAATATCGAAAGTTCGGCAGAATATTGACAAAATTGCAGCGTGTAGTGAACAGACGACCTCATGAGCGACCGATTAGCAGATAACTAACACGTGCAGACAATCAAGAGGCAAAGCATGGAGTTTTTACGCCGAACGGGAATGCAATTGTGAATATGATCGAGGAAAAGCATTTAACTTTATCTACCGCCTCTGATATTAATATTGCAGACTGCTTTGTTTTACAAGAACGAGGATTTGGCAAGTTAAAGGGAAATGACATCAAAGCAGAGTGATGAAATTGGGCGATTTAAGACAGATTTTGTTCAGCTGAATAGATGCTGGGTTTCAAAGACTTCTTTAATGGATTGCTTTTGGCGTAGCTTTGACTCCGTTTCAAGAGGCGAGTGGAAGTTATTTGTTAATTGGCCTCACCGGAAGCCAAAAGAGGATTGACCTGCAGTCGTGACTGTAGGTTTGCGTGCATCGTCCGCTACTCTGATTACTCCGTGCCGGGCTTTCGTTTGTAATCTGACAGATTTCGTCAAATTAGGATATCATGCTTTACGATAAATCATGAGGCACAAAGGCATGAAAGGGGATCGGCTTCATTCCTACCTACTTCATATAGTCTGACGTTGTTCCATCTAATTAGAAATCTCATGCTTTTGATGGCTTTTCTCTGCTTTCCATACATACTTGCAGATAAGTGAAGCGGTTGCAGATGACGTGTAAATTAGATACTGTTTCTTATTCACCCAAAACCCATATACTTTTGATCTTGAAATGCTGATGCATGTGTTTGCGTTCCAGTACACGTGTTCAGTGGGCAGGCAATGCCTAGTTGTGGCAGGTGTAAGAGTGCTAACCAGGCTCGAGGCTAATCTAACCTGATCTTACTGAATGCCACTTCTGTTTACATCTCTTTCTCTTTCTCTTTCGCCATAATCCTATCCAACTGCCACAAATGTTTTCTATTTGGTGTGTTTTTCATTTTGTTAATCTCTACAGCCTTTCTAATTTGTCTTATCTGTTTGCTCACCACATCATGCACAGCGTTTGGCTTCATAGCAGATAACCTCTTATGCATGGATTGGAGGATCTTCCTACATCAACGCTATCACGTCAACACAGGTCCTTGTACAGCCGGATTTGGAGATAGGGTGTTAATATCCAACCTATTCAATTCGCTTATCTTTTTGAGTGTGGATAGGATGGTAAAATCAGGCCCCCCTGGATGCTAAACTTTTCTATAGACACCATTTTATAGATAAACCTATGTTCGTACGATTTACTATTCTAATATTCCGAGGTGGCACTTCTAGATGGCTAACTATGCAAAAGACTCAATATTTCTCTTTGTTCTTTCCGGGTAAAAGTCAGTAAAACTGAGCAGTTTTACCGTTATTTTCTCACATTTCCAACTGTTTGGCAACGTAGCAGTTTAACCTTTTGAAAGAACTTTATTGGGAATAACGCCTAACTCCTACTCTTCCCTACTGATTAACCTCCAACTTCTATGCTTACCGAAAAATCCTAGTCTTGATTCTTATACAAAAATCATCAAGCTTTTTATCACACCTAGCCCCTATCTGCTGTAAAACCCTATTATATAACTTATAAGCCACTTTTTATAATTTAAATCTTCCGAGATTTTTTGGCATTCCAAATTACCAGTACTTCTTTATTGCATTACTTCTGTCCTCCTTCAC